TATATACATATATTTCCTTTGAGACAGGCTCTTATGTATCCCAGGCTGCCTTTGAGCTTGCTACGTAGCCAAAGATGACCTCCTGACTCCACCTCCTGAGTGCTGGGATTACACATACACTACCAAGCCCAGTTTATGTGGTGCTGGAGATCGAACCCAGGGCTTTGTGTAGGCTAGACAAATGCCCTACTAATGGAGCTATATTCCCAGCTCTTACTTTAAAACTGTATATTCAGCTGGATGTGGTGATACATGTCTTCAGTCCCAGCACTTGAGCAGCAGAGGCAGGTGGATCTCTGTGAGTTCGAGGCCAGCCTGGTCTACATGGAGAGTTTCAGGTCACTGGGACTACAGGAAGACCCTGTCTCAAAAAGACCAAAAAAAAAATCCCCCCCCAAACAACTGTATATTCAGTTTTCAAAATTGGCCTGAGCCCACAGTATTTCTCATCCTCCCAGATATCACTATCTTGAATTTCTTCTTAATCACTTTTTCTTCATAGTTTTATCACACATGCATGTATAAACAATATATTATTTGATCTGAGAATTGTAGCATGTTTTCCTTCATGACTATTCTTTTCAGATTTAGATTTTTGCACAGTTTTATCAGCTGGCGTACATTTACATCGCCATTCCTGTTATTTGGGATTCATTCTGGTTCATCAGTGCCCGTGCTAAACACTTTATTAAACATCACCAAATATTTGTCAAATAATTTGCAAATCACCCTTGGATCCATTCATTTGAAGCGTGTCCTGTGTCACGTTCTGCTGTGTACACTTACTGTTATTCATTCCACTGTTTTGAATGCTCCTTGTTTTTCTCCTTTTCGCTCTAATAAACAGTGCTTCGGTGAACATTCTCACAGCTGTTTCCTATTATACATTCAGAGCATGCCCATTCTCTGGGGCATGTACCAAAAATGGAACTTGGGGTCACTTGTTATGAAAATTGAATTGCAGATTTCATACTGTTGATAAAATATTTGTGTTAATTTGCATCCCCACCAGCCTCCTCATTCTTCTACATCCTCAACAACATTTGGTACCATCTGCCCTTAATGTTTTTGCCAACACAGTGAGGGTGACATGATATTTCACTGTGGTTTTTTTCTCACAGATTAATGATTTCTGTTAATTTATATTCTTATTGTGTGTGATGTGTATATGAGTACAGGTACACATTGTCATGGCATGAATGTATGAGGTCAGAG